GAGCCACTGCGAGCAGGGGCCCCGCCCCCGGAGCCGCCTCCTCGGCTTCTGGAGTGGCAGGATTTGAACTTGAAGCCGTATTTCACAGGTTTTTTTTAAAATAAGAGGTCCTCGCTAGGGAGGAAAAGGCTGTTTGATGGCTGAGCGCAGCCTGGGGACCAGGAAAGCCAGCACCGCTCCGAATCCGGGCACTGGTTTCAGATGTGACCTTGGGCAAGGTCACTGCATCTCTGCATCCGCAGGGGGTCCAAGGGACGCCCCCGGCCTCCCGAGCCATTGGGCTACAGCCAGGGAGGCCTCCGCTGCCTCAGCATCGCTTGCCCCATTCCCACCGGGGCAGCCCCAGAGCTCCCAAACCCCCCCAGTCTGAGCCACCGCCACAGCACACCGCTTCCCAGAAAAGGGGGTCCAACACCTTTGCCCACCCCCCCACCTCCCAGCCCTGAAAATGACATTAGAGCCTTCCCCCCGCCTTTCCCCTCTAGATTAGATGCTTTACAAAGCTTTTCCCCCTGCCCTAACGAGAATTTGAGCTGCGTGAAGCATTTTGAAGCTTCAAGCAAGTCTTCTGGGCAGCCAAGCTTCGTCACCCACACAACCGGGCTTTGTCGGCTGCGGTGTCCCGCTCCCGGGACCAAGGGGACCTGGGGGAGCGAGTCAGGCTGTGCAGGCAAGGTCACCCCCCAGGCAGGGGGGCCGGGACAATCAGCCGGACAGTGTGGGAACGGCTGCAGGGTCATGAGACTGCCGAGGGCTGGCATGGAAAGTTGTACAACTTTGCAACTCATTCTCCTCGCACAACACGCCCTTTGTGTCCCTCATCTGCGGTGGCCGAGAACATCGAGGGGCAAACGGGCTGCCCCGAGCCCCCCAGGAACGGCCACGGCCAGAGACCACCGGGCTCCTTCCCCGAGCGCTGCCGCCCAGCCCTTAAAGAAATCACACCCTGTTCCCTCTTCAGGGGCCTGAACAGCCGGAGTACTACAGCCTGCGCAGAGCTGGGTGGCTCACGGGATTAGTAACAAGAGATGGAGCCTTCCACCTTTACAGGTTCAGAAAAAAAAAAACAACACCAGGAGCAGGCACAGGGCACAACGCCGTGCCGGTGGGTTGGGCGAAATCCACTTGGAAAGCAGCTCCTGACAGCCAGGTGACAAGTGACAAAAGCCGCTGGCATGACCGCCAGCTAGTCCCCTCCTTGGCAAGAATAAGGTCTGAATGGGCCACCAAGGGGGAGATTCAACTACTGACCTAAATTTCCCAGGCAGCTCTTTTCTCTCTCTACACCCCCTGACCGCCGAAAAGGCATTAGACACTTGTTGTCCCAGACTGCGCGTCTCTGCAGGGTTGCAAAGATGCCACATTTCATCCCAAAGTGGCTGCGTTTGAGAAGTTAGGAAATCGCCCTCGCATGTAACTCGCAGCAGCTGAGGGGGCACCGTCAACTTAAAATACGGTCCATTTGAAAGAGAGAGTTTACAACAATACCAGAGCTCTCCAATTTATTTACAAACCTTCTTTACAAACCTGGCGTAACACGACGCACATCCCTAACTACTCAGCTAACTGCTCTCATCAGTGCTGAGCCCGCTCTGCATTTCCAAAATACCAACACAGCTGAGCGTCGGCTATCCCTGGCTCCCCAGGTCAGCCCGACACAAACACAGCCCAACTCCAGGCAGGAAAAAATGTCATTTTTTTTTGTGCAAGGAGTGCTGCTGAACACGGTGCGAGCGAGGGAAGCCCCCTGCCTCCCCGAGACGCTGCTCACGGCAGCCTCCGCTGTTCCACGTCCAATTGGTTTCACACCGACGTCAACTGCTGTTTGATGCTGCTCCTCAGCACTAAAAGGTTATTTTCTTAAGCTCAAGTTATCAACTCGTCCCTTTCAGCCGTACCAGACGAACTGCCAAAGAGCAGAACAGAGCGTTAACCGAAACCCCTGAGCTTGCACTTTACTCACCTCGAGTCCAGCGGGATGTCACCCTATCGCTTTCCTACAGGAGGTCTGGAATTTGACATTTACATTCAAATGAGACGACCACATTAAGATGGGATCACAACCAAAAGTGCTGACAAAACACTGCTTAATTACTAGTTTTCCACATAACCTCAGTGGTTTTTGCTTTTGCTTCTTCGCATTGCTTTAAAATTTAGCTGGGCGAACTGAGGAACCAGAGCAGCTTGGAAGGGCTCTGAAATACGCAGGTATCGGGTGGGAGAGCTAAGTTACCTCTGGTTAGGCGGTAACAGCAAATGTTTTCAACGTGCTCTTCATCCGGAAAAGATCCTAAATCGCTTTACAAAGGCAGGGCTCGCCTCTCCCGCAGAGGTGCCACCCACTCCAGCAGCACAGATGAGAAACTTGAGCAACGCTACGTGCCCGCTCCGGGCAGAAAGGGAAAATTATCATTGCCTTTTCCACCAAGCACGAGGCGGAATGGCTTTAGGGCACTGCTACAATCCACGATGCAAGGTTTCCTGGGAATAGCTGTGTTTTGGGCTATGGCACGTGGTTATCTGGCCTCTTGCCGCTCAAGGTACCCAAGGAACGGAGATCACAAGTTGCTGTGCCCCATTTCTTAGAGAAAATGCACATACGACAGCGTCAGGGCAGACCTTGCAGCAGCACTGCTGCGCGCTAGAAAAGAATTATTAAAATAATGTTGCTATATAAAAAAAAACAACAAGTCAGTGGTTTGCTGCCCAAGGACCAAACATTATCCTAGCCCTCACTCACCACCGACTGGAGAAATGGGCATTTTTTCCCTATGAATAGCTCACCCCAATTACAGGTCACACAATGCAAGTCCTTGTCTCTTCACTTTATATTTTGGGAGCGATCATCCCAGTTCCCCCCTTCCTTCTTCCAGCTGCATGGACACATCTGCAAGTCCGGATCCCTTGAAATAAAAGGCAGCTCTCCGGCCATGCGGAGCATGAGCCATCATCTCTGCTGACACCACGCTCTGCAACATCCCAAGGACAAGCCCAAGCAGGTCTCCCTCTGCCC